CTACACGAAGGACACTGCTCACGAGGAGCAAGTGGAGAGCGAGGAAGCCCATGAGTACATCCAGCGGAGGGTACAGAAAGCCCATGAGCTGGTCCAGCTGGAGTCCCAGCTCAGAGACCAGAGGATGGAGGAGATCAGAAGTGCCTGTGAAGAGGAGTGGCAAAGACCACCAGGATTGGTTTCTGGACCCAAGAAGTTGTCTCCGGTGGTGAATGACAAAAATCACTTTATTTCACCACCAGTAGCTGATGCACATGAAAAAGACAAATTTATTGACTTTACAGAGGATGAGGAGGTCCAGGTACTTGATGTCAGCTCCAAAATGACAATTCTAACTATTGATGACTCGAGTGAGCAGAAACTGCCACAAGATATGTCAACTATAGAGACAGAGCTGCTTAATACCAGCAAGGCAGCAGAACAAGGTGATATACAAGAATCTGAGCAAAATCTCGAATCCAGCATTATACCATCATCCCCTGCACTTGAGAAAGAGAGTCGGAGCCTCCAAGGGAAACAGCATTCCCATGTACATTCAGACAGCTTGGCTAAGGCAGGGAATGACCTGTCCGGGCATCATCACCATTCCTCCAACGAGTCTCGCATAGCTGACAATCCTGAAAGGGTTGCAGAAATGTCAGTTCAGGTACTTGACCCGCACATTGCCCTGGGGACAGAGCAGAAGGACGTTCCTGAGGCAGCTTCCACTTCCGCAGTGCTGAGCTTATCACATGTCACACCAGAAATCCATGGTGGGCTCTGCAAGTCTCGTGTGCTGGAAGACAACTTGGAGGACACATCTGTGCTTTCTCTCCAGGATCAAGTTGACTTCAATCTGGTCTTGGAAGAGTCTGAAGAGGGATGGAAGGATGCCTCAAATAGGGAAGGGTCAGTGGAACACCCCAACGAGAGCTTCCAACGCCAGGCAGAAAGTTTGTGTCAATCTCCAACCAAAGAATCTCCAAAAAAAAGTCAGCTGAGTGAGAACAGTAACTGTGGCAAACCCTGTCCCGCAGATGAGGAAGAGCCAAATGCCTCCCTGCAAGGGAGTGAAGCATTGGAGGAAAGCAGTGGTCTCTTTACTTTTAATAGGAGGAAATGCTTAAACAGAATTGCTTCAGACAGCGAGAGTGAAGAGCAGCCTGAACAAATGCCCTCCTCTCCCCTGGACAGCCTTGGGCACCAACTTCTGGAAGGAATTAGCGCGTCCACCCCTAAATGTGACAGAAGCAGGGCTAGAGCCATCTTTTCTCCTCAACTAAGTAACAGTGGTAGCAGGTCTAATGCTTCCAGGCGCTCATTCATCAACAAAGTAGTAGATGAGGTGGAGGATATTGGGGAAATCATGGAAACCACCGGTGAAGAAGGTGATGATGACACTGATGAGGAGCAAGACAAGCTTGTGGAAGAAGAAGCTGAGGAGTGTACTGGGGAATCTGCTGAGACTGAAGAAGAACCTACTGGAGAAACACTTTATACAGGTGAAGAGTCCTCCCATGTAGATAGTGAGGAATCTGAGCAGTCCGAGGCGGAGGAGACGGAGTCATCTCAGGAGGAATCCACTGGTGACCCTGAGCTCCAGTCGGGTGAGCAGATTGACTACTTCACCCAGGAAAGCAGGTCCGAAAAGGACGTTGGTCAGAATTCCTCTCCTGCTGTGGGGGATTACGACACCTTGGTGTACAGTGGGAAGAAACTTCAGAATGATGGGAAACTCCAGGAGGCATTGGACTGCTTCCTGCAAGCTCTTGACATAAAAAGTGGAGATCCTGAAGTTATGCTTCTCACTCTAAACTTGTACAGACAGCTGTCACAGAAGTGAAGGGTGTGAGCACAGTCTAGCTGTTCCTCATTAACACGTGTCTGCACCATGGCACCAGGATCCCTGAGCCAGCTCCAGGCTGGTGCCTCCCATTCACTCACATGACTGAGCAAACTCAGCATCTCCTCTGTGAGGAAACAGTCCAAGAATCCAGGTGTTGGATGCTGGGGAGGGAACTTCACTGTGGAGTCAGCTCACAAAGGTGAAAATAGCTCATGTTTCTGTCTGGTTATTTAATAAAAAGATGTTGTTGATGTCTAAACCCCTCTCTAAGCTGGCAGCTCTGGCTTCACCCTTTGCCCCTCCAGGTTCTGTCACTCCTCTCCCCTGAGAGGATGGGGGCAGTGTGGTTCCATGGCCACTGCACAGCCCAGCCTCAGGCTGATGTGATTGCTCCCTCCTTCTTGTCTTGAAATAAGCCAACTTGGGTGCCTGAATGTCACCCACCATTTGTGTGAGCTGGATGCTGGTGCGAAGGAGAGAACAGCTCTTGCAGCCTGGTTGTAAGGTGGTCTGAGAATGGATTGGCTGTGGAGGAGTTAAAAAGATTTAAAAACTGTTCGCTGCTCTAATTTCTCCAAACAGTGGAGGAAGTGGAGCAGAGGAGGCCAGCACAGCATCTGCTTGGCACCAGGTGTAACACCCAGTGTGGTAGTGCAGGAGCCCTTCTGAACCCCCTGAGAGGTGTGTATGTGTGTGGGGGGGCTGTGGGGCTAGAACTCCAAAGACAGCAGGAGGGGATACTGGATTTAACTGCTTTTTTTGGTAAGGAAATCCTCTAACCCTCTCCCCACACACAGCTTAACTCTGTTAGGTGAAGTATCTCTCAGGTCCTGTAGGCACGATGAAGCTATGAAGAGGGTTTGTAGTTCACAGAATCACAGGGTCATAGAATGGTTTGGGTTGGGAGGGACCTTAAAGACCTTCCAGTGCCCTGCCATGGGCAGGGACACCTCCCACTATCCCAGGTTGCTCCAAGCCCCATCCAACCTGGCCTTGAACACTTCCAGGGATGGAGCAGCCACAGCTTCTCTGGGCAACCTCTGCCATGGCCTCACCACCCTAACAGGGAAGAATTTATCCCTAATATCCCATCTAACCCTGCCATCTGTCAGTCTGAACACATTTCTGCTTGTCCTGTCACTCCAGTTCCTGAGGCAGAGTCCCTCTCCAGCTTCTCTGTAGGCCCCTTCACAGACTGGAAGGTGCTGAGGTCTCTACACAACCGTCTCTTCTCCAGGCTGAACAGTCCCAACTCTCTCAGCCTGTCTCCATAGGGCAGGTGGTCCACTCCTCTTACCAGCTTTGTGGCCTCCTCTGCACTTGTTCCAACAGTTCCACATCCTTCTTATGTTGGGGGCACCAGAACTGGACACAGTATTCCAGGTGAGGTCTCAGGAGAGTAGAGCAGAGAGGGAGAATCCTCTGCTTCACCTGCTGCCTACTCTCCTTTGGATGTGTTCCCAGGGCATGGGGGGTTTCTGGGCTGTGAGCACTCACTGCTGGCTCAGGGTGAGTTTTTCATCAAACATCACCCCCAAGCCCTCCTCCCAGGGCTGCTCTCAAGCCCTTCTCTGCCCAACCTGCAGGTGTGCCTGGGACTGCACTGTACTTCGCTTTGTTGAACCTCATGAGGTTTGCACAGTCCCACTTCTCCAGCATGTCCAGGTCCCTCTGGATCCATCCCTCCCCTTCAGCACGTGACTGCACCACACAGCTCGGTGTTGTCAGCGAACTGGCTGAGGGTACCTTGATCCCATGAACCAGCAGCTCAGAACCCCCCGGTTCTGGCTTTCAGCGACGCTCTGCCCCCCTGCCCCTCACTGACAGAACCTGGGCCTGGTGTGCACATCACGGGGATTGACTCCTGCCAGTCTCACCTGGTGACAACATAGCAGTGGATTTGGATGTTTCCTTGTGCCACATGCATGTTTAGTGGCTGGCACAGCTGCCTGCTGTGGCACCGTGTGATAGCACAGGACACTTCACACCTGGCTGAGCTGTGCAGTTTTGGGAGAGGAATCCTTTGTATCAGGAGCCACAACAAACACAAAACTAATCCTGCTGGTGCAGAAGCTGTGCCAATGTGCTTTTGCTAACAGAGAGAACAAAGCTCTAGCAACCTGGAAACAAGTGGTTTATTAATGGAGCACCATTAAATGGGGCCATTTCTGCTCTGGGCAGCATTCATACCAAAATAATAATGAAGTGCAGCTTTGCAGTCACTCGTTGGCCTCTGAGCTTTCCATGCTCTGAGCAAAACCAACACCCTGAAAGGGGAGAAGGACCTGCCTGGGTTTCACCTCACCTCTTCCTTCTGTGGGATCTTGGGAAGAGCCTTTTGTTCTCTCTGATGTTTCCTCCTCATCTCCGAGCTCTGTGCACAGTGCTCACCTGTGAACAAAGCCAGTGCCTGTTGCTGGAGCTGTGGCTGCTTTGGGGGCTCTGTGGGGAGGAAGGGGATCATGGCACTGGGCTATATCCCTGACATGGCAGGAACCTGCTGGGCTGCCCCACCTGCACCCCATGCCCAGTGTAGGGGAGCGCAGGAAGTGGGACACAAGCACTGAGTGGCTTTTTTCTTATTCAAACCTGAGTCATTCAATTTCTTTCCCCAGCTTTGAGTGAGCAAGGTGTAGCTTTAGGCACAGGTCAGTCTGTGCTCAGGAGAGCTCCTCCTTCCCTCCTTCTCTCAGCTCTCTTCCCTGCTGCTGCCTGGCCTGACCCACTGCCTGGGGCCAGCCCTGGTGTCACGCAGCCTCTGTCAGAGGGACTGTCCCCCAGCCCTGGAGCACAAGCTGTACCATGGGAGCTGTCTGGACCCTCCTGGAGAGGACAAGGATGGAGACCAAGCCCTGGGGACCCCTCTGTCCCTTTCTGCATCATTTCTGTTGTAAGATAAAAGCCTGAGCTTTTCTGCTAACAGACCACTGTCTCCACAATGGGAGAAACACGAGGCCAGCCTGCCACACAACACAGACTTCAACAACTGCAAAAGGCTCTTGTTTCACCCTTTCCAGGGACACTTTACCTCTCTAGGCAGGGCCCTGCTCTGCCAGCACGGCGGCAGGGACAGCCTCCAGGCATGCTGCTGGTTGTGCCCGACTTGCTCCAAGGCCAAGGTGTCTGGCAAGCTCTCGGGATTCAAGCAGTCAACAAGGTCACGGTCATTCACATTTTATTTCTTGCCTTCCACCATGATAATGTGGTACCCGAACTTGGTCTTGACCGGAGGGTCTGTGTACACAGGCTTGTCCATGCTGCTCACAGGCAGGGCAAACGCTGCCTCCTGGAATGGTCCCACCATGGAGCCTCTGCTCATCCAGCCCAGGTCCCCCTGCAGGAAGGAACCACCGGGGTTAAGCTTTGAGACTCTCAGTGCAGGGAGGGTGGGCGACGTGGCCGTGGGACAGGACAGCTGTCTGTGCTGGCAGCGGTGACGAGCAGGGCCCGGGCTCCCGCAGGCGCGGCCCGGCCACACTGCCCTGCCCCGGGCGCGGCACCCACCCCTTGCCTGGCCTTGTCCTCGCTGTACTGCGCCGCCACCTCGCTGAAGCGCTGCCCGGACTTCAGCTTCTCCATGGCCTCCATGGCCCGGCCGTGCTTCTCGCACAGGATGTGCCGGACCTGGGAGGGAGAGCGGAGCGGGGTTGTGGCGAGCGGGGCGAGCGCCCGGGTGCTGGGGAGGAGCGGGGAAAACACCCCCGTATCGCCCGGCCCCCGCGCTCACCTTCACGGCGCTGCCGCCTCCCTTCGGGCCCTGCGCTTTGCCCTCGCTGCTGCTGCCGCCGCTGTCGCCGCCTGTGAATGGAGCGC